CCCCTCAAGCTCCTTCTTGGCGTGTGGGGCCCAAAACTGCCCCCAGGATTTGAGGTTCAGCCTCCCCAGTGCCCAGCCCAGGGGGACAATCCTGCCCTACTCCTGCTGGCCACACTGATGCTGACCCAAGCCAGATGCTGGTGGCCACTTGGGCCCACACTGGCTCCTCTCCAGCCAGCTGTGACCAACCCCCCAGGTCCTTTCACAGGGGCAGTAGATGGAGCTGTGAGACACAGCAGGGATCTCCCTGCTCTGAATCTCCTTGGTGACAGAACCCAGGCAGTCACACACGACTGACCCAACACTGTGGCTCTGCTGAACACACAGAGATCTTTTAGGGACAGCAGTGTCTAAAAATCCTTCCAGCTGTGGCACAGAGCTGGTCCAGCCCTGCCGGGCACCTCACTACCTGCTTGGTGGTGGGAGACCTGGCTAAAAACTGAAAATATCAGTCCAGATGTGCAGCCTGACACCTGCTTTTTTTCTTTTTCTCTTCCAGCCAGCAAGGACTTGGCACAGACTTCCTATTTCATGGCTACCAACAGGTTATTATTTTATCATTGCTTCATTTTTGACAGAGGGTCTTAACTGGAGGAGGAGCCTGCGAGCGACTGGGGCTCGCTCAGTTTGGCTCAGGAAGAGCAGGATCCCTTTCTCCTCTTAGCTGCTGGGCAAAACCTGCTGCCAAATGGAAGCCAGGCAGCTGGGCAGCTCAGGAACTCCACTGCTATAGTTAGTTGTGGAAGTTGGTCAAAAAAAAAAGAAGGAAAACAAACCAAAAAGGCAGCCTTGAAACAGATACAATTCTGCTTGCTTAGTACAGAGCTGTTGGGGAGTTTTCCCTCAACAGATTGGTCCATAAACGTGGTCTGTAGGCCACAGAAAGCTGAGAAAGGGATAAAAAAGGGGAATTGGGTGGAGGCATGAGGCGTTGCAAGAGGAATGAGCCTGTCTGGGCTGCCTGACTCACAGAGTCCTGTAAGGCTTGGAAATGAAAAAGCCCCTTGCTTTTTTTCCTCACCTCGATCAGTTTGAGTAGTTTTGTCACTTGGTTTTCACTGCAAGACTGATACAAGCCCCTGTGTTGGGGGGAAACCAAAAAAACTGATTTCCTTGATTACCAGCTTCAGGCAAATCACAGGAGTTAATGTTTGGAACAGAGTTGTGGACACAGAAAATCTTGTGGTTTTGTGGAGAGCTCGTGGAAGAAAAAGGATGGGAGAAAGAGCTGGTTGAGGTACTAGTGCAGGTGAAGCTGTGAGTGTGTTGAAAGAACTCACAATTTGGGTGAGTTCTTTGTCTCTTGAGGTGTAACCCACAGCCAACCAGGAGGGTCCTTCCTTGCAGGTGCTCTTGAGCTCCAAAGGACACCATTGGGGGGGTTTCCTGCCTAAACTGGCATCCTGGGGAGGTGGTGCTTGGAACCTGTGGGAGAAAACAGCCTTGAAAGGTGGTTTATCCCTGCAGCATTGACTGCAAAGCCAAGGAATGAGGAGTTAGGGTTGTGACTGAAAGAGCTCCAGTAAGAAATGCAGCCAGGCAGCCTCAGCTTTGCCTGAAATGCCTGATGAAGGTGCTTAAGTGCTGGACTAGATTTATGAGGCGTAGCTACAGGCATTGATTTGTTTCTGGCATCTTTATGAGGCAGAGTTGAGGCTTTTTGGGCACCTCAGCTCCACTTCTTACCTTGGCAGAGTGGGTAGGGGGCTCTGACTTCCCTGGTTTGACTCCTTGATGTGTGGTACCTGAAACGGCTCCAGGCTGTGTGGCTGTTGGTGTCTCTGACAGACTTTGGCATTGATGGAAAAACGTTTCATAACCTGAAACATGATGTAGAGCTGCAGCAAACGCTGTCCCACGGAGCTGCTCTGTGGCCCTGTTCCCCTCAGTGCTCTTGGAAAGGGCCACTGGGTGAGCGTGGTGGTGGCCAAACCCCGTGCTCTGCTTGCCACCGTGCTTTCTCAGCCTTAGTGGACCTGGTGTTGCTGCAGGTAGAGAGTCCTTTGGTTCTCCTGGTCTTGGTGCTTCTCAGATCTCCCAGGGCTGAGCTGTCACAGATTTAATTTCCTGATGAAAACACTCGACAGGCTCCTGGGCTCCCTCTTAAGGTGCTCCTGACTCACTCCAGCCTACGGTGCCCTTCACAGCCACAGCTTCAGTGCCTTCCCTCAAAAACAACTGGGGCAACGACCCTTCTTAAAAGTCACCAAGGGCCAGTTTGCTCCTCGAAACGCCCTCCCAGGAGCTGCACTTGGACGTGCCTCGAGTTTCTCCTGGGATGGAGAAGAGCTGGGGGCTGGCAGGTGACCCAGCCCCTCGCTCCCTCCCTCGGAGGAGGGCTCAGGGAGGCGTCGGCGTCTCCTCGCCGCCCCGGCACGAGCCTGGACCCCAATTTCCCTGCAGCAGAACAAGGGAAGGAAGAAGCAAATTTTGGTGGAGCGGGATAGAGACGCCCGTAACAGTAGGGTTGTACTGGGGGAGGAACAACAGCAGGGACATTTCCCCCCGTGCCCACCTCTCGTGCAGCGTCTGGTCAGCGGGCGGTTGCGAGTGCTGCTGAAGTTCAGGCTTGGGAGTTCATGGCTTTTTGTTTCTCTCTCCCTGCTGGTGACGTCAGCCTGCACCTGACCACCTTCAGCCTGCAGTACACCCCTCCCGTTGTGGCCTGCGTCTGTATCCACCTGGCTTGTAAGTGGTCCAACTGGGAGATCCCAGTCTCCACGGACGGGAAGCACTGGTGGGAATACGTTGATGGCACTGTAACTCTGGAGCTCTTAGATGGTAAGTTTTGGAGCGAGGTTTCCCCCCCAAAAAAAAAAGGCTCTTATTGGTTATTTTGGCATCTCTGTTCCTGGCTCGGCCATTCCAACGTGGCCACCGGCCAGTTCATGGACTCCAAGGTCTTGCCAAGGTTTCCAGCAGCAGCTTCTGTGGGACAACAGAGATGGCAAAAGGTGCACAGCGAGATGAGTTTAAATGTGGTCAGTGATACTACTACTCAGCATTTCCCCTCCTGGAGTAGCTCCATCTCATCAGTAGCTCCATTCACCAGCGAGTAGGGGGTTGCCCTGATGGATCATTGCTGCTCTGGACCACCTCTGACCACCTTCTTGTTTGGTTTTTGTGTCTCCTCTGCAGAACTGACTCATGAATTCCTCCAGATCCTTGAGAAGACTCCAAATAGGCTGAAACGTATCCGGAACTGGCGGGTAAGGATCTGCTCTGGAACCACAGGGGCTTGCAGTAGAGCCCTGGCTCTGATTTCTCCTGCATGCAGGAGGCTGTGGTGGCATCACTGGGGTGACAATGCCAAGCTGTCTCTGAAGGACACGTGTGTGGGGGGGGAAATGTGAACACTCTGCATCTGCAGAACGCTGCTTTGGTGCTATAGTTCTTCTGTTCTGAATTAACTCTGTAGAGACCTTGGGTTTTCAGCTCAGCTTCCAGTGGTTGGGTCCTTTTCACACAAGGAGGGATGGGGAAAAAGTGACTCTGTCTTCAAATCATAGAATTATAGACAAGTTTGGATGGGAAGGGACCTTCAAAGCTCATCTTGTCCAACCCCCTGCAGGGACAGGGACATCCCCAGCTAGAGCAGGGTGCTCAGAGCCCCGGCCAACCTCCCCTAGGATGGTTCCAGGGATGGGGCATCCACCACGTTTCAGGGCAACCTAGGCCAGGATCTCACTGTCCTCAGTGTCAAACATTTCTTCCTTCTCTCTATTCTAATCTCCCTCTTTTCATTTTAAGCCACCCTCCCTTGTCCTGTCCCAACAGGCCCTGCTCAAAAGCCTGTCCCCAGCTTTCTGA